CCTCTGTGGGATGGAAATAAGGTGCCAAAGTGGAAATGCAGTGTGTGAGGTGACCGCCATTCTGTCAGTCCTTGGTGCTCGGTCCCTTGGTCTGTGATGCTCTGCAAAGTTCATCATCCTTTGTCCCTCGTAGGATACCAGGCACATAGCGGGCACCTGGGAATTAGTATGGAATGAATCACTAGCTTGAGGGTGGTAGCCTATCTGGCTAAAGGAAGTTAAAGGAGCAGCTATAAAGCAAGGAGCTTGAAACGACAATTGAAAATTATTTTCTTTTTTAAAAAAATTTTATTTTTGAGACAGAGTCTCAATCTGTTGCCCCGACTGGAGTGCAGTGGCGCTATTTCGGCTCACTGCAACCTCCGCCTCCCAGGTTCAACGATTCTCATGCCCCAGCCTCCCGAGTAGCTGGGACTAAAGGTGCGTGCCACCACATCTGAGTAATTTTTGCATTTTTAGTAGAGACAGAGTTTCACCGTGTTGGCCAGGCTGGTCTCAAACTCCTGACCTCAAGTGATCTGCCTGCCTCAGCCTCCCAAAGTGCTGGCCTGAGCCACCATGCCCAGCCAACAATTGAAAACTGTCTTCTGAGAGCGATGTTCCTCCACATCTGAGCGTCTTGACTAGCTATCTGAGGCAAACACCGGTTGTGGAACCTACATTGTATCTATAACAAGCAACCCTGATGATGTTTATGCCCCGAGCCTCACTGTTGCCTGGGGAGGCAAGGTAGGCAGAAAATGTGGAGTGAAGATATCTGGATACAAGACACAGGTATACTTTGCAGTGAAAGGTAGGAGTATCTTTATGCCCACAAACAAATATCTTCTCTCCAATATTTTGTACCAAAGGCAGGGCTGTCGCTCTTGGACTATCTTGTTTTCTTACTCTTTTTTTTTTTTTGAGATGGGGTCTTGCCCCGTCGCCCAGGCCGGAGTGCAACGGTGCCATCTTGGCTCACTGCAACTTCCGCCTCCCAGATTCAAGCGATTCTCCTGCCTCAGTTTCCCAAGTAGCTGGGATTACAGGCATGTGCCTCCATGCCCAGCTAATTTTTGTATTTTTAGTAGAGATGGGGTTTCACCATGTTGGTCAGACTGGTCTCGAACTCCTGACCTCATGATCTACCAGCCTCAGCCTCCCTAAGTGCTGGGATTACAGGCGTGAGCCACTGCGCCCAGCCCTTCTTACTCTTTATGGAGTAATTAGTGGAGATGAATATTTCCCTTCTTAAAAATAACCACTTAGATATTGCAGTGAGAGGGAGTAAAAAAAAAAAAAAAAAAAGGGCACGGGTGAAGCATAACTAAGCCACCAGTCACCCAAATAGTGACAGCCAATAGTAAATGGGCAATGAACCCTCAGCCTCAGTGCTGGGGAGAGCACAGGGGCTGCAAATGTCCTGATGACATGGAGAACGTGCCTTAGGGGGCAGCAGTTAATTCAACTACACTCGATCATGGTCGAGTGGGAATATATAGGTACCAAGTTGCCCGATTGTCTGATTTTTCAGGAGAAGCCAGGAATCTGATTTTTTAATGTTTAACCTTTTAACTTTGAAATGTTGGTACATAATTTAAAAATATATACATATGGCTCAAAACAGGTCTGAAAACCGAATTTAAACTGAACCTCACAGTGGAGCTGAAAGCTTCCTGCTCTGCAGCTCTGAATGATGAAGTTTGAGATCTCTGTGCTAAGGATGAGATCATAGTTATAGTCATTACAGGGATGCTACGAGCACTCTTTCAGTCTCAATTTTTTTCTTTTTTCTCATGTATATATATTTTAAAATAGTTGATATGGGGGGGGGAGGGGTCTCGCTATGTTTCCCAGACTGGTCTTAAAATCCTGGGCTCAGTGATCCTTCCACTTCAGACAACCAAAGTGTTAGGATTATAGCTGTGAGCCACCGCACCTGGACCAGTCTCAGTCGTTTCTAGTAGAATGTAAACTCCCCGAAGTAAAGAACTCGGTCTTTGTTAGCCGCAGGTGTATCCTTGTAAAACAGTGCCTGGGACAGAGTCAGGGCTGGAGAAAAGCATGCAGAGATAATCAATGACTCATCAGCAATGAATTGAGCAGGCTGCAGTGTGGTGGTCATTGCCCTCATGGGGCCCCATGCAAGGCAGGAGAGGGGATCCTGGATCAAGGAAGTTGAGCTCTGGCCACCAACTCCCATGAGCAGGATCCCTGAACTTGAAAGGTCTTTCCTGAGGGGTTGGGGGTAGGGGGCAGAAGTCAGTCTGAGCCGTTGCCAGAGCCCTGATATCAGAGTTCTATTTTGGGGTAAAGGAAACCTTCCCCTACCCCTCACCCTATCATCCATCTCTCGTATTTCCACAGGGATTATGGCATGTCTTTATGGGTTGGGTAGCATTTGGGTCATGCACAGAGAGAGGTTGTCGGCTCCTGAAAACACAACTATCTACATCTCAGGTGATTTCAGAAACCCCTTTCAGCCAGGACTGGTGGCTCATGCCAGTAACCTTAGTACTGTGGGATGCTGAGGCACGCAGATCTCTTGAGCTCAGGAGTTGGAGACCAGTCTGGGCAACATGACAAAACTCCGTCTCTGCAAAAACAAAACAAAAAAATTAGCTGGGCCTTGTGGTGCATGTCAGTAGTCCCAGCTACTCAGGAGGCCAAGGCAGGATAATCACTTGAGCCTGGGAGGTGGAGGTTGCATTGAGCTGAGATTGTGCCATGGTACTCTGGCCTGGGAGATGGGAGTGAAACCCTGTCTCAAAAATAAATAAATAAAAATAAAATAATAATAATAATTTTAAAAGTCCAGGCACAGTGGCTCATGCCTGTAGTCCCAACACTTTTGGAGGCTGAGGCAGGCGGATTACCTGAGGTCCGGAGTTCGAGACCAGCCTGACTAACATGGAGAAATCCCGTCTCTACTAAAAATACAAAATTAGCCGGGCATGCTGGTTCATGCCAGTAATCCCAGCTACTCGGGAGGCTGAGGCAGGAGCATCGCTTGAACCTGGGAGGCAGGGGTTGCGGTGAGCCGAGATCGTGCCATTGCACTCCAACCTGGGCAACAAAAGCGAAACTCTGTCTCAAACAAACAAACACCAAAAAACCCACTTTCAGTTGGCAGTGTGGTTGAAAAGATGGCTGGTAGAACTTGAGAGAAAAACTTAGGGAGGAGAGTGTAGGACAGGCTACTCTGCAAGTTCTTTAGAATAGTGTTCCTTAAAGTGTGTTTTGTGGAATATTGGTATAACTTGAATAGATATTACTTGAAAAAAAGGGAGTTGGAGCAAATCTGGGAACAACTGAAACAAAGTTAAACAGGTTTCTTTCCTGTAGGACTTTTCAGGGCCTTTAGTATAATAATGTGTATGATGAAACTCTACTAGCAAAATAGAATATGCAGTTAGGCTAATTTGGGCATGGATTTTTTTTTTTTTTTTTTTTTTTTTTGGTAGCATATCTTTCAACAGTGTGTTCCTTAGAAACGACTGTCTTAAAGGACTGTTGTCTTCCCAGCTCTGGAGGTGAGGTTCCGATCATGCAGTTCTTAAGATTTTCTCCCTCTGCCCAGAGAGGCGGGGTTTCTGCTGAGTTTGCAGAACTCTCTCCAGGTGTGAGGATGGGGAGGGAGGTTGGGCTCCTGAGGGCAGTGATGCAGGGAACTCCACCAGAGCTGCTCAGAGCCCACTTTGCCTGTGTAACCAACCATTGGCTTCCCTATCTTCCACCTGGCCATGGGGTGATCTGCCAGTACGTGCAAACTCTCCAGAATTCCTGAATGTGAACAAGGCACTTCCCTCCTGCTTCTAAACAGATGCCCCAGACCTCTCAGCAAGGGTGACTGAGGAAGGTACCTTCTCGTCTGGAGGTGACAAGAAGGCCTACCGCTCACTTCTGTGGGGAGATCAGCTGCCCCTGAGTTTCTTCTTGCCTGGGGGATTACGGTGCTGACCCCTGGGATTCAAGGGCAGGCTCCCCGCTGGACACAGCTCCAGGGTGAAAGGCGGCAGCCAAGACTGCCTCTCCCTCCCGCTGCCTGGGACTTTTACCTGCTGATCAGGAAACAGTGGGCACTGAGGTTAGGTGTGGGGCCATGGTGGCACCAGCTTCAATCATGAAATCTTGTAATCCCAGCACTTTGGGAGGCCGAGACGGGCGGATCATGAGGTCAGGAGATCGAGACCATCCTGGCTAACACAGTGAAAACCCGTCTCTACTAAAAAATACAAAAAAGCTAGCCGGGCGAGTTGGCGGGCGCCTATAGTCCCAGCTACTCGGGAGACTGAGGCAGGAGAATGGCATAAACCCGGGAGGCGGAGCTTGCAGTGAGCTGAGATCCGGCCACTGCACTCCAGCCTGGGGGACAGAGGAGACTCCGTAGACTCCGTCTCAAAAAAAAAAAAAAAAAAAAAAAAGAAATCCCTCGTGGGCTGAGGATGGAAACGGGAAGGCAGAAGCCTTTGAGGGAGGTGGAGTATGGTGGACATGAGGGACCGGATTCCGAGCTTCCGCTGCCGTCGGGGAAGCTGCCAGGAGAGGGCAGTGCAGAGCTTCCTTGCCTTCTCTCCCTAGCTCTGCCTTACAACTGGCCACACACAAGGTAAGTGTGCCGAACTTGGCTCTTCCTCCCCAGACAGGGCAGCTGAGCTCACGCAGGACGCACATCTACCTTGTCTCCTTCCCTGGGTAGTCAGGTGTATACTGAGGCCTCCAAATTTTGTCTGGCCTTGGGTCCCATGAAAAGAGCAAAGGATTGCCACAGCAACCACAGAAAGAGAATTGTGCACCAGGGTTACGGTAGGTAATAAGATTTACTGAAAACGTCTCGGCCACATTCAGTACTGGTTTGGTGGATACATCAGAAGGAGGTTGCATAACATTAGGCAGGTGGAGGGGCTGGGAGGAAGAGATGTGGGCACCTGTGTGCCAGTGTGCCCGTGCTGGGGGACACCTGTCCAGGTGGTGAGTGGAACGGGGTGTGTGTGTGTGTGTGAACAAGAGAAACGAACCAGAAAAGGAAATGCATTTTATCCCACTGCACATTGCAAAAGTCTCACGCCAAAAAAGCTAGACTTTCCTCTATGTATGGCATCAAAAGGGAGTAAAAAATGATTGGATCACCCAGATTATAAATAAGGTTATTTGTTTCTCAAAAATCCCTATTAAAACATTAAATATCAGCTCTTTTGGGGGAGAAATACATTCATTTCAGGGAGACCTCGAAAGAGTGACCATCCTTTTGTTCTACCCCAACCAGGTGGGGGAGGGGAAGCCCCAGAGGGGAAGCCCCGCGGGTCCCCTCCAGTTGAGCCAGGTCGCCACTCACATCCTGCCACTGAAGGAGATGGCTAATGCACAATTTACAAATGAAACTGCACGTCCATTAAATTAAACCCAATGGAAAACACACATGTGACCAGTCCTGTCATTCACAGCCATGGGGTGAGAGGGAACAGGAGGCGGGTGCCAACCAAGGGGGTCTGGAAGGTGGGTGGGAGGGTATGTGTTAGGGTGGACAGTGGAGAGCCTCCTCCTCCTTCCAGGGGCCCCAGTTCCTCCAGGGCTGTGGACAGCAGGGTTAGAACAGCAGGGTGTGTGGGGTGGGCACCCCCGCAGGCTCTTGGGTGCCATTCTCTGGGCCCTCCCCCACATTTTGGATATTGATGGGAAGGGGGATGTAGCACCTTCTCCAACCCCTGGCTTCCCACTGGACTAGATGCCTTCCAATGTTTCTTCTGCCTTCCCTGAAGGACAGGATGAAGAAAGGAAGCTGGAGGCTGATGGAGCCAGCCTGGGAGCAGAAGGATGGCCGTGGCGACCCGCTGGGTGGAAAGATTCCCAGATAACCTGTTTTCACCTTCTCTGAAGGTCTATGGAGGGTTTGGAGCACTGAGGGTGGGAGCATCTAGGGTAAAACACCATTGTCCTGTTGTTACAGGAGCTGAGTTCTGTGACCACCTAGGGACAGTTGTGGCCTCAAAGTCACCTTGATATGGCTCCTAGCCCAGGGTCTGCCATCTCCTTGGCTCTTGGAGTCAACCCAGAAGGGACTCCTCTTAACCTCCCACAGGTTGAGCCCACCAGCTTACAATGTTTCCAGGAGAGAGTGACGGGGACTGTGGCTCCCATCCCTCTCTCCCATGTCCATGGTTGCTGTGCGCAGAGACAGGGCCTTGGAGGGATGAGCCCGGTGGATTCTATCCCATTCTGATCTGCAAGATGTGATGCCTCAGGCCCTCCCACTCCTCTGGCCACTGGTTATGCTCTGGGGCTCCCTCCTGCCCTTGAATGTCTGTCAAAGGAGCTGAGAACCTTCTGGGGATGAAACTCAGTCCCCCTTTGTCTCTCCCCTTCCTTCTAAGTCTGCCCCCGGAGCAAAGGCCCACTCTGCGAACAGCACCAATCTGCCTCACAGTGCAGGGCTTGTAAACGACTCAAGTCCTTCCATGGGTGGGGGCCATGGGTGCCATCTGTCCTCAGGGATTTGGTGAGTCCAGATCTCACTGCTGTCTTTCCATACAGGCTGCTCGACTGGCCCCGCCAAACAGAGTCCTCGGCAGTTCCGGGGAAGTGGGACTGGGGTCCTCGTTGAAGCTCGGTGGTTGGGAAGGAACAGGTGTCTCCTCTGCCTTTCTTCAAGCTACTGATTTGGGGAAGCTAGGGCCCAACTCCCTCGGTGCTTCCTGCCCACGTCCCCTTCCCCCCCACCCTGAAGGCCTCCCGGCGACACTCCTCTCCTGCTCGATGATCAGTGCCATCTGGGCTGCCCGACTACTCCAGGGAGTCACTGTGTTCCAAGCCCAGGTCGCTGACATTCGTCGTCTGCAGCTCGTCGACCTCCTCCTCCAGCTCCTCCTCCTCCTCCTCTTCCATCTCATCCTCATCCTCTTCTTCTGTCCCATCCAATGAGTCATCATGTGCAGCCATCATAGCCTGCTGCATGGCCATGGTGGCATTGTCTGAGGACAGGGACTGCAGGTTGTCCAAGTTGATGGAACCTGCGTGAGAGAAAGCAAGGGTCAGGACGAGGCAGGGGCTGCCGGTCAGGGCCAGCACCTCTGTGTTGGACAGGGTGTAATGGACTGGCTCATAGAGCAGTGAACTTCTCCTTTCTAGGGCTGCCCAAGTCTGAGCTGGACAATGCCCTGGTATGAAGTCTCCCATCCATTCACTCGTCAGCTACTTCCTGCCCCATCTCAGGAAGCAGCACTCCCAGCCACCATTCACTGAGCATTTTCTTTATGTATTGACCACTTTTGACTTTCTAACAATTCTGTAAGGCAGGTATTATTATCCCCATTCTAAAGAGGAGGAAACAGGGTCTCAGACAGTTAAGTCATTAGCTCAAGATGACATTGTCAGTGATGACAGAGTTGGGATTCTCTCCCAGGTTGGTCTAGTCCCCTAAATCTTTTTTTTCCCCCCATCATAACCCATAAGATGATGGCTTAGCACAAAGGAACCTGTGTGCAACCATACACATACACGTGTGCATGAGGTTATGTGTACACACACACACCTACACCCCACTCCCCATGCAGAGCTATCTTCATGTGCCAAGCTATAAAATGTCTGGCTCATTGAATTATTCATTGTGCACTAGGCGACTGGCAATTAGAAAAGTGTATATGGAGGGTGTGATGGAGAGGCTGGGAAAACAGCTCTTCCTGGCCTCTGTTCCCAAGCCAGCTGCCTGCCTTGGTATTTATAGATGGCCCTGGCTCCCGAGGAGCTGTGCAGATACTGACTGGTGCTAAGGAACTCAGATGGGTGCGGACATGGGGGGCTCTGCTGAGCAGTCACTGACTTGCGTGACCACCAGCTCCCACTTGTCTTTATGAGAGTGCATCTGGTCTGTTAAATTATGTTCAAAACCAGCCCCTTCTTTAGGCTTTGGGGAGGGATAATTGCTGTGACAGGGCAGCCGATGGGAGCCCAGGTAAGGAGACAGCCCTTGAATCTTTGCACAGCTTGACCTAAAGAAGCTCCAGGAGCACCCCCAGGCCTTGTCCAGGGTGCGCTCAGCCCCAGTTCTTACCATCGGGGTTTGTTCCTGGGGCACCGCTCTGCTGCTGCAGCACCCCTGCAGCGATGGAGTTGGGCCAGAATCTTTGGGTGGGCCGGTGCTGAGACTTGATCTTCTTGGCTTTGGGAGCAGGGTCTGGGTTGCTGGCATCAAGCATGGGCTGCAGGATGCGCCTCCGGGCATTGATGAACCTGCCCAGAGGTAAAGTGGAGACCTGGTGAGTCACCGCCTGCATTGCCTTGGGGTGGGGGTAGGGAGGGTGAAGCTGCTTTCAGACTCCATTTCACAGAGCAGATCAGGGTTCCCATCCCGGATGTAAAAGCCCAGCAGGGAGAAGGGCCCTGGGTACTGAGAAGTTCATGAAATCTCCTGGGGCTTGGTAACTGCAAAGTCGTATGGGAAGAATGCATGGGGGGCCAGAAATCCTTGTTCAAGACCTTCCAGGTTGAACAGGGGAGGAGAGCATGGTAGTCACAGGCACTAACCTCTGACTTCTCTCCAGAGGGCCGAGGGCTTGGATCAGGGCCCTCAACTCAGGTCTACTTCCATCCGGCCAGACCGTGCTCTCTGAGTTCCCCATGACAGCCCAGCCAGGCACAGAGACTGGGAACGCTGACATCCCTGTGGGGTCAGAATGGCTACTCTTCCTCCCTCTCCCCACTCCCAGCTTTGCAGCACGTTTCAGTTTCAGTTCACACGGGGGTGGGGTAGACCAGATGAGCACTGGCCTGCAGTGCACCGGTGCGGGCAATCCTGTCTCTCTCTGCAGCGCACCGGTGTGGGCAATCCTGTCTCTCTCTGCAGCGCACCGGTGCGGGCAATCCTGTCTCTCTGCAGTGCACCGGTGCGGGCAATCCTGTCTCTCTCTGCAGTGCACCGGTGCGGGCAATCCTGTCTCTCTGCAGTGCAGGTGGGCTGGGGGCTTCGGTGGGCGTGGGTTTTCTATTCCTCAAGGAGCTTCCAGGGATGTGCCTGACACCATGTCCCAGCAGAGGGCGCTGAGAAGCTGCAGATGAAGCCACAGGTGCCAGGGTTGATTCTTGCTTTCTGCTTCTAGCCCAAATGGCGGGACTGGCATGGTAGCTGGGCTGAGATTGAGGCAGATCCTGGCATGGGAGTCTCTTTTCTCTGCTACGCATTCCCCTGCCAAGAAGGTGCCCCCTGGATATGGCAGCCTGTGTGCAGATGGTGTAAACTCACCAGTTATTTACTTGCAGGAGGGTGAGGTTGGTCTGGGCTGCGATCTGCCTCTTCTCGTCCTCCGTGGGGTAGGGGTGCTGAAACGAGAGGTGGAGGCTAGTGAGGGCTGGGCACGTGCTGGTCTGGCCCCGCTGAGAGACTGTGCCCATGCATGGACACTATCCTGAGCCAGGCAGCCCGAGTGGTTTGGGAACCAAAATTGGGGAAGTGTCACATTTGCTCCCCACAGAGAATGGACCTAGGGCTTGGAGAAAGGCTGCCCCATGCCCGAGACTCCACATCCCAGACTGGCCAGCCCTCAACTGAGCCCACACAATGGGGAGCCAGGGAGGTTTCCCAAGACCAGGATGGTTCAGTACTGACAGCTTCCAAGGCACATCCTTCTCACTTGATCCTCACTGCTGCCCCCAGCAAGCATTGTCAGTGTTAGGGTTTCCAGTGGCCTCAAACATCCACAGAAGGTGGTAAGCGGGGTGAATGGATCAATCTAAGTTAACTGATATTTACTGAATATCTACTATGTGCCCAGATTTATGCTAGGCATTGCTAGGAGACAGAAGGGAAATATAATAAGTACTACTTGTATAGTGCTTTATAACCTGTAAAATGCTTTCATGCATTTTATTCATGAAAAAAATCATAATTTTATTTAATAAAGCACATCATTAAAACTCTGAAAGGTAGGCAGGTTAGGCATTGTTATTCCCACTTTGCAGATGAAGAGATGGAATGACTCCTCCAGTGTCCCCCAGATGGTAGCACCAACTCAGATCTTCTGATTTGGGTCCAGTCTTTCTTCCATTGCTTCGCGATGCCACTTTACAGGACTGAGTGGAGGTGAGAAACAGAGCGGGGCAGGTGTCTCTCCCAGTCCCCCGCATGCTGTAGCCCGTGCACTGACTACACGTCTGTCTCCCTCTCTCAGACTGTGATTCATGAGGGCACCAGGATACTGAATGTATCCCCAGTGCCCTCCACATACAAATGACATACAAATGCCTGCTGAGTGAAGGAAAGCAAAAACAGTACTCGATGCTGTGGTTTGGGTGATGAGCACTGTAGAGGCTAAGGAGGAGGAGAGAAATAGGTGCTGGCCAGAGCGGTGGGGAAGACAGAACAGGTCACATTAAAGGATGAAAAGGCTCTCGGTGTCAGTGGGAAGGGGGTCCTGACCCCATCAGGAGGGAGGCCACATGATAGCTGAGTCTATGCATTCCTAGGACTTGTTCAGGCCACAGCCCAGTGCCTGGCACCCAGCAGGCGTGCAATTAAGGTGTGGTGAATATCTGAATAAGGCACAGTTTTGTCCTGGAAGCGAGAGGAGGTTTGGGGGCTCTTATGGCAGAAGATCAAGCCATCCAGCATTCTCAGGCTGAAATCATTCCTTTGATTGGAGCGGTATTAGAAAGTGCTGCTTGAGCTGTCTAGGGTCCCCGAGATGGGAGGTCTCACAATCTGGCTCTATTATGACTAGCTATGAAATCTCAGGCATGTCACTTAACTACACATCATCAAGTCATCTAACAAATAAGTGAAATTACACTTGTAAAACGCTCAATAAAAGGTACCAATACTGTTATCATCAGTGTTGGAAGGTGCTTAAAACTTTCTGAGGAAAAAGGTTGCGATCAGCAGCCTTGGTGGTACTCTCATTATCGGTGGAAAGGAGAGCAGCCTCTTCCCTGCCTCAGCATCCCCCAAATGAAGCGATCAGGACCATGCGTTGCTTTAATGCAAACCTCTGACCCTGACCACCCTGCCAAGGCAGCTGGGACTTGTGATTCATACAATATGAAGATTCTAACAAGAAAGAAGGCACATCAGCCTTACAGGAGGCAATTTTATTCGAATTGGGAAGGAGCAGAGGGAGGACGGGAGGAGGGAGTGCAGATGGCCCCAGGGGACAGGGGGGCAGGGACTCTGAGAACTCTGACACCTTGTGGGGTCAAGCCCTAGTGCCTGGCTCCAACCTCCCTATTTGTGGGAAAGAGCCAAGCAACCTCCTTTTCCATAGCCAGCCAGTCTGTAGACAAAATGCAGCAAAAATATGGTGACTTTTTGGCCTTCCAAAAAGTCACCCACTAGATGGCAAGATATGTGTCCCCCACTAGGCCATGAGCTTCTCTCAGGCAGGGACTTCATCTTATTAGACATTGTTTATTCCCAGTGTGCAGACCAGGCACAGTTTGCAGACAGGCAAAGAGGCCAATGTTGAAGGATTGTGTAGGGAACTGAGGAATGAACTAGCACAATAAGGAGATGCAAACTGGTTTCTTGAGCAGAGCTAGCAGGCGTCCTGGCTGTGCCGGTTCACCAGCCCACAAGTGCTGGGCATCTGCTACATCCTGGGTGCTGGCAAGCAAAAGGTATCCGAAGTTAAGAGCCCACAGACTAGATGGAAAGAATAGGAGGAAAAAGCCTCTCTATTAATTTCTATGATTTCAGCTGGACTTTGAAGAATGGCAAAGCCATTCTAGGAGAGGAGAGGATGATGTTCCAGGCAGGAGCCTTGTACTAGGACTTGACTTACGTTTAAGCCAGTAGGATGAAAAGTTCTTCTACTGTTAACGACCTCCAGAGAAGGAAATCCTCCAGCCTTCCTTGGAAGAATAACGTTTGCTGTCTCTAAGGAGGCTTCTGTTGCTGGGCCCCCATTTGGAGTGGATGTCACAAATACACAGATTAACACACCCCAGTCTGATGGGGAGCTATGAGAAGCAAGTGCCACCCAAAACTGGCTAGTTGCTCTCTTACGAACGAGGATATAAAGCCCCTAACCACTCCCTGGTGCAGGTCGTCACCGCCTGTCCCTCCCAGAACCAGTATCTCAGGATACACGCTGTGGGGGCCATGGGGTAAGTAGCAGCATTTAGCAGCTTCGGGGACAGGTGTGTCGGCCAGAACATTCCTGGCACCACATCTGAGTGGTCATGGGAGCAGTCCAGCTTGTACACACCTCAGACCACATGATTCCTGAGGACAGAGTCAAAATAGTCCTGGCCCCTGGACAGACCACGATTGGGTCAGTGCTACTTTTAGCACAACTGGCCAGGCCTGGGGCCAAGGACGGGAAGAAGAATCAAATGAGATCACGGCAAACCATCAAGCCACAGTGGTTGCTCTCTGCTCATTACTGGAGGGAACTCCCTGGAGTTGGAAGAGAAGGGTCCAGACAGTAGCTCTCTGGAAGCAGACAATCCTTCCTTGAAAAAGAAGGATACACAGCTCATGAAAAGCAAGGGAAAAAAAGAAAAAGACGTACAGAACAGACTAGAAGACGACAGAGGCTTCTCAGGGACAGCTGGAGCCTCACACGACTGCGCAGTGCTGCCAGGGAGTAAAGGACCTTCAGAGATGGGATCGAGTCCTGACCCACCCCTTAACGCTGTGTGACCCTGGCACACGCAAGTGACCTTTGTTTTATGTCTTCCATCCTTAGATGGGAATAGCAAAACAGTGCCTACCTCTTGGACATGGGGATGATTTAACGAGACAGCGCAGGGTAAGCCTGTGTACTCCACTGACTCACTCTGTGCGATGCACTAAAGCCTCCAGACATCATCTAGTTGAATAGTCAAGGATTCTAGAGAAGGGAATTATGGTATTTACACCAAGTAGGTGTCTCACGGCACTGTAGTTGCCACCAGGAAGTTCCTCTGAAATCTGACCTCAACTCTTTCCCATCTCTCTCTGATACCTCCCTCCATAGCCCCATAACACAACTCTCATCTGGGCTAAACTGACGCTAAAAGCATCTTTCAATTGAAAGAGTGAGTTCTGCCCAGACATGGTTCAGAAGGAAGCTAAGCCAGTGCTGGTTCACAGGTCCCTGGACATTTCTTTCATGAACGGCCCATTGGCAATTGTCCTTCCACCTCCTAGCCATGCAGATCTCACCACGAGGTGGGCCAGGTCACCAAGGGACATAGCAGATGGGAAGCCGCAGCCTGTCAGTGTCAACAGACACTGGTAGAGCAGGGCTTGGAGCCTGATTCAGACCAGCGAGCCTCCATTAGGTTTCCTGCCATCAGCAGCACAGCGCCAGAGGCCACCACACGCTTTTCCCGTTCCTCTCCCTCTTGACGGCTGTGAGGCCACAGGCTGCTGCCAGTCACCACTCTGGGGTGGTTCCCTCTAGGAAGGCCAGAGACCCAGAGGAAGGCAGCCAGAGACCCAGAGGAAGGCAGCCAGGACAGTGGGGAGCCCCAAAATGCCCACATTCTATCACATCTAAAAGGCCATCGATGGTGGGATGTACCCAATTTCAGAAATGTTAAAATGGGGAAAAAAAAGGCTTTTAGAATAAAGAGAAGCACAATAAGTCACCGAAGAAACTTCTCTTTCTGCAGTCATTGCCCTTGTTCAGGCTTTCCATTCTTTCATTTTTGTTCTCATTTTTATCCCTGCTCCCCTTAAAACTGTGAACGCTCAGAAAAATACAAAGAAAAGCAAACACCTATGTAACCACCCCCAGGTCAAAAAAATAGGATACGACCAGCACCCCACAAACCCCCTTCTGTCCCTTCCAAACGCTTCTCCAAAGATCTCCTGACTTTTACAGTAACCACTTTCTTGCTTTTCTTTACAGTTTTACTATCTGTGTTACATCCTAAACATGATGGCCTAGTTGACATCAGGTTTTTGAACCTGATGTAAATGGAATCATTCATCCACGCTGGTTCTGTTTTACTGTAATTGTTCATTTTAATCGCTGTGTAGTTTTCCACTGTGAAAATACACTGCTGTCCCATTCTTTACCTTCCTGCAATCTCAAAACTATTCTCTTTCCCTCCGGTTTCTGTGTCAATCTGTCCTTCACAATGCCAGCAAGATGGGTCCTTCTTAACCTCCCCCAATCCCCATCCCTGCTTAAGTGAAGCCCTCTTGGATGCCCCTTCTATGAGCTCTGAGCGCTGGCCCTGTCTAGGATTCTTCCTACTACAAGGGTGATCTGTGTAGTTAAACTACCTGTCACCCCAAGGGGCAGGCTGCAAGTGTTTTGGGAAAAGGGACCATGTCTTTCTTTTCAACCTACTTCACTGGCACCAAGGAAATACGTGTGGCAGGTGGTAAGTGT